AAAATTGAAAAAATTTCCCTCGTTCCCCGTAAATGGGGGAAACCTCCAAAAAAATTACAAATTTAAAAATCACTAATTTTCGAAATTTTTCAATTTTTTTTACTAAAAACTGCCGTAACTTTTTCAAAAATGAACATATCAATATAATTATTTTTTTTATAGATGCTTGATGTCTTAACCTATTATTTGGTATATTTTTTTTGTAAATTTGACCTTTTTCCTGCCCTCAGGGGGGGATTTAAAATGACAACTTTTTCACAAAAAATTAACTTTTGAAAATGTTCCGGAAGGTCTGACACTTTTATATATATCTTAAATTAAAGCTAATGTAATATACTTTAATTTGAAAAAAAAAAATTTGACCTCTGGACTTGTCTTCACGGCGAAAATGGCTACCGAATGCTATTTTCGTGTGAAAATTCTCGATTTTATTATTTATATTATATTTAACTTTATAATGCTATAACTTATTGAAAAGTTTATGGATCCACACAATTTTTTTATGAGAAATAATATTTTTTAATAAACCCTTTTTCATTCGACATACTTTATCTTAATCGAGATATTAATAAGGAACCAGCAGATCAAGTAGCTTTTGGAATAAAACACCAATTTTTTTAAAATTAAACACTATCTAAAGATTTGCATAGAAGCGTTTATTTTTGATAGTGATTTTAATCACTGTCAGATATAATTATACTTGATCCAACTATACCACTGTGCCGCGACCTCCCTGTGCTGGATTTTTTATTATTAATATTACAATACAATTCAATTATTATAACACGAGTAGGGTTGGGAGGGATAATTGTGAATTGTGGTAATTGTAAATGAGGCACCGATAATCAATGTGTCCTCATTGCCACGGGATGTATTTATTACATGTTTTGTTCGTATTTGTTCCGTATCATCAATTAGTGGAAATTCTCAATAGATTATTTATTTTTAAAACTTAATTGCACAGTCGGTGGCAAATCCACATTATCCCAATTCCACAATATTATATCGATTATAACATTGCATTTACAATAATACAATATTTTGAAAAAAATACAAGTCCAAAAAAAAGTTATAACGTTACAAGTCGCGTGGGGGGGTCAATATGACCCATTTCAACTTTGATGGATATTTTAAGTCATACATTATTTTTTCGAAGGTATTTATTTATGAAAATCTATTCAATATTTCTATAAAAACCATCTTCTAAATTTATATCTATGTACACCTTTTATGCAATATAATACATCCATTTTTATTTATGTGGGGGTATGCTAGACCCCCACGCGACTGTTAAAGGGTTAAAGTATATTTTAAAATCTTTAATTTCGTATAGGTTTAATGTATGCAGTCTTTTCAGGATATTTCCAAATATTTTACAGGAAAAAAATAATTAAAACATACGTTTTTAACGTATGTTTTTAACCCATTACGGGTGGTTTTATTTTCAAACCCTTACTTTAATTAAGTTTCCTATTAAATTGTATAAAGGAATATCCAAAATAAGAATTTTTGGTCTAGTATATCATATTAAGTTAAAAAATGTCAAAATTTACCTAAAAAAATTGTAATTTTTCGGATGATTTCCTTAATTTACAGGGAACGAGTGAATTTTTAATATAAACAAATCAAAAATGAATAAGTAAAAAACTTTATTAATACAAATACAGAAGCATACACATTTCATCTTTTACAGACTGTTTATACTATTCTAAATAATTTAAACAATTATATAATACCTGTCGTAACACAGTAAAATGAAAAGGTGGGGTATAAAATGTAATGTGTGTACGAAGATGAAGATGAGGATGTGGTGCCTGCTGTCTAGATATTCACGTGCGTGTTGTCGTACAGCAGTCACCGTGCTCGGCCGACACTCCGGGATAGCTGTGGGTGTCGAAAGGCTGTTGTTATATAAAGGGAATAAGGGTAACACCTAGGTATGAGGTGCAGACGAAGTGCAAGACACAAATACTGGGCGTACCAGGTAAGGAGTATAACAAAGTACGAAGTGTAAGACACAAGTACTTCAAAGAGAGAACGGGGTAGCCGACTATAAGGTGCAGACGAAGTGCAAGACACAAATACTAGGCGTACCAGGTGAGGAAAAATAACAGAGTACGAGGTGTAGACGAAGTGCAAGACACAAGTACACTGAAATGTTGTGGAAGAGAGTAGATAGGTTTAAAAAGGAATAAACAAAGACTTTACTTTAAACAGTAAGCCGGACAGCGACAACCGAGTACTGAGACTGATGAATGACACAAGGCACTGGAGTCGACTGACCACGATGGTCAGGTCTATTGGGTTTTTATAATAATTAGAACTATTGCCAATTTGGCAATAAATATTATTTGTTAATTCATCAGTCTCAGGAAGCGGATGTGCTGTCTGCATTTTATTAAAATAATTCTCACAATAATGGTAACGTGACACCATCACATACCTAAAAGACATCTATAGTCATTTCATATACTTAGTATTTTTTAATTAACGAATTTTTTTCATTTTAGAAGAGAAGCTCCATTCTTACGCGTTCCCGCTCAATTCAAGTACTAAATGTTAATTAATAAAATTAAAAGCACCGAATATACTATACTTACAAAAATGAAAAATATGCTAATTTCAACATTTTCTCCTGATATTAATCTGAAAACAAAATGTAAAAATAAATGCAATAACTTCACTTAATTGTAATTAACTATGATTGATGATAATTTAACGCATACAATATTTTCTTTATTTAACATACTTTAGCAATTATTTTATTTTTAATTAAAATATTAAATTTTCGATTTAAGAACAACAAATTTAAATTTCTTATTACGCATTAAAAATATAAGTCTTACAGTTAAAATGATATTAATATTTAAAAAATTTATATTAGTTTATATAATATAAAATCTTATATACGTTAATATGACTGTGCAAATATTTTTTGACAAAACATTGTTATAAAAACATTTTTCATCATTTTACATGTAAATCTATAAATCACAAGATATAAATTCTTAGGTTTAGTGGAAAATTCTGTTGATTTTTATCGGTCAATTGTTTTGTGAAATAAAATAAAAATTTATTCAGTTGAAAAAAATAAGTAAATTAATTGCATTGTATTTTTTAATTATAATATAATTTTTAATTAAATTAGTAGCTATAAATAAACATAATTAAATTATGTTTATGCTATAATTAAATATAATTGAAATGTTTTTCATTATTCATAGCTTTTAATCGTGTTGCGAAAACTATAGAAATAGTATTTATAATTTTACGCGTTCGTAAAAAATATATTCTTTTAATAACTTACTAGGACCATTATAAACAAATAAAAAAATAATAATTTTTTTTTCCACTAATAAACCATTATGTTAAAATCATTTTTCGATTCGCCTTATTAAAATGTTTTTTATCATCAAAATAACGACAAAAATGTTTCTAATTGTTAAGTATCAAAATATTAAATTAGTTTAAATAAAATGAAATAAAAAAAATTATTTTATGATTTACCCTAAATTAAAAATCTTTGAAGAAACGTTTTAGCGACTTCTAGGTTTTAAGCTCAACTTTAATGAAATATAAAAATATCAAGAGATGTCAATATGTATTCAAAATGTCCTAAAATATTTACTTTATTGGATAATTAAAATCTTTTTTTATACTGCTGTAAAATATATATATTTTTTTTTAATTTTTACTATTTTATGTAATTATAATATTTTTAGTCTAAATATTGTTTTATATAAAATCAGCAGTTAAACCCATAAACCCTATTTACTTCACAAAACAAAGGTATATAGGACCGTCGGCATCAGCGTTACCCGATGTACACCACAAAGAGGTTGCACAATCGGATTTTGTACATCATATAACCCTTATAAGGGGCTTTTAGCAACAAAAATTTAAATTTGTAGAATGATTACCAAGAATAAATTAATGAATTATATACATCTACAATATTAAAAATGATGTGTAGAATTCTTAACTACTACAATAAATGACTAGTAACATGACTTTAATAGGAATAGAATGACTTAAGTATACGAACTCAAAAATAAAACGATTGGAATAGACGATCTAAAATCCAGACGCATTAATCAAATGTCAGACTCTCGTTTGCTACAATAGCGGTTTCTATTCTCATCAAAAGATCTATGTAGTAATCTACACTTTCTATCTTCTTTTGGTATATCTCACTTCAACATCCAACAGAAATCTGCTATCATAATCGCATCCCACCTTCCTTGATATCGAGTTTTCATGACTTTTATATCTTGGTGAAAGCGTTCGCCTTGCTCTTCACTAAAATCACCTAGATTTCTCACCCTGACCAGCCGCCGATACTGAAAAATCGACTCTCTGCACCGTAAAACGTTTACGCACACCTGCCATGAAGGCAGAAAAAACATAATCCAGGGATCACAGGCACACTCCGTTGGCCAACACGAGGAGGTGCCCTGGATACAGGCACACGTCGTAAGTCGGATGAATAAATTCCGCGAGTTTCTTTGCAAATCAAAATCCTGACATACTGGGTTTTTTTAGACAATGGATTCGGATTCAGCGACCCCAAAAAAATATGGTAAACATGGTCTGACTCCCGGACTCGGAAAAAAAAATGTCATGAAGTTTTTGAGGTAACGTTGAAACCCTGACATGCTGGAATTTTTAACCCTCGAATTTGGATTCAGCGACCAAAAAAACATATAAAAAACATGGTCTAACCCCCGGACTCAAATAAAATATTGTAATTTCGGTTTTCGGGTAAGAGTAGGAGTGCACCAAGGTTCTGCTTTAAGCCCTTACTTATTCTCTATAGTGATGGATGAAATTACTAGAGAAATACAAGGTGTAGCGTCAATCGTGGATAAGATAAGAGAAAATAGACTTAGATCGTTTGGTCATGTTATGAGAAGAGGAGAATCGGAAGCTGTAAGAACAGTTTTAAAAATGAATGTTGAAGGAAGAAGAGGTAGAGGAAGACCAAAAAAGAGATGGAGGGATGTTATTGAATGCGATATGAGAACAGCTGATGTGAGCGTAAAGGATGTGGGAGTTCGTGTCAATTGGAAGTTTGGGATAAGGGTGACCGATCCCAAGTAGTTGGTATTAAGGCGAGGAAGAAGAAGAATACTATATTTATTTTCCAAGTAATCGAGTGGTTTATAATGAACCGTATCATAATTTCTAATACATAGACTAATACATAAATCAATCTGTTGTATGTTATTGTATAGTTATTTTTATTAGTATTATTGTGATAAGCAGACGATCGGTTTTACTCATCAAAGAAAAATCATTCTCCTAATAAATGCCTCCCTATGCACATATAGCAAAATTTAGTTTTTATTAATTTATAGTTAAGCGACCTAAGTACCCTTCCTCTCGTAAAAAGAAAAATTCAGTCCACATTCGCAACATTTGGTTCAATTACGTATCGGATCAGTTTATGTAAAGTGCGTCTTAAATACGATATAATCGTATTTTCGTGTTAGTAAATAATACTTTAGTACATCGTGTAATATCGTGGTGGCTATTTGTGTATATTTAACAAATAAGTGTTATTATTAGCCGTGATATTATAGTGAGGAAGTCGTAGACGAGATAATTCGTAATTGTCAAGTACCAAGTTTGGATAATTAGGTGACCAACCTGTCCATTTAAAAATTTTCTCTCGAGGAAAAACTGCTGGAAGAGAGAAAATATTGTCATGGTAAGAGAATTACATTCTGTTACTAAATGTCGTTATATAAAATATATATATATATATAAATCTTATTATTAAAAGAAAAATAAAAATGTCCTATTCGTTAAGCACGCTTTTGTTTGGTGATTTAATAATAGCGTTTGTTGTAAAAAAAAAAAAGAGAGAGATCAGGGGGCCATATAAGCATACCATACATTGCTAGGGACCCGTAGCAATTCGCGAGCTCCGATTGGCTCTCTGGTACATGTGATAACATAATCGCCATCATAACATATTCAAATTTTGTCCTTTACTGTGACTTTGTCTAACTTTTGTATCCGTTGTAATTTGTTTCATTTATTCACTTAAAATGTTGTATCCAAAGATTAATGAAGTAGTTGAATATAGTGGGAGCAATATTAGCTTAAGATCATATTTATTTGCTTCTCTGATACTAAGTTCTTTGTAATTATTTACGTTTTTAATTAGTTTTATGGTTTTAATAGAGTGATTATGTGTCAATAAATGTTCAGCCACTGGAGATTTCTCAATTTCTTGATTTTTAATATTTCTTAAGTGCTCTTTAAACCTGACCCCTATATTTCTTTTTGTTTGTCCTACGTAACATTTATTACAACTTTCACATTGTATTTTATAAATGCCTGATTTCCCCCCTTCATCTACCTTATCTTTAGGGTTACCTAATAAATCTCTTAAATTATTACTCTTNATTTTATTTAAAATTTAAAAATAATTAATATTTTTAATAAAATGTAAAAAAATTAATTATTGAGATATAGCTATAGACCTAACGTATAACTATTATTTAAAAAAAAAATCAACTAAAAATATTAACTGGATCAAAAGTTATTTAAGTTGTCAGTGAGTGGTGGGCCACCCTGTATATATATATATATATTTTTTTTTTTGTTTTATCGAGGAATATTATGTTGTATATAAATATCAAGACAGTTATAATTATATAAGTTTGTACTTTCATCATCAGATCAGTACATTACTAATAATAATTTTTTATTATTTTAACTATGCTGTCCAACGTTAAATCACAGTTTCCAATATATTTATCAAAATTAAATGTTTACATAATCCCACGTATAATAACCTGCTGAATTTTTTTGTAATTATTCCATAATATAAACACAATTATTATAATTAGAATATTAATAATTTTTGTGTATACGAGCGGTGTATTTAAGGGAGATTTGGGCTCCCCTTGAATCAGCGCTATCAATATTTTTTTAGGCAACTTCTAAGGAATGAGGACCTAATGAACTTTTTTCTGGTCATCACTTTGATATTTAGCAAAAAAAAAAAATCAATAACATTTTTAATAAAGTAAAAAAAAAAACCCAGCACAGCGGGGTCGCGGCAAAGTGGTGCCGTGGTATAGTTGGATCAACTATAATGATAGCTGTCAGTAATTAAAATTATTATCAAAAATAAACGCTTCGATTCGCAATTCTTTAGATAGTGTTTAATTTTAAAAAATTGGTGGATTATTCCAAAAGCAACATGATTTGCTAGTTCGTTATTAATATCCTGATACAGATAAAGTATGTCGAATGAAAAAGTGATTATTAAAAAATATTATTTGTCATCAAAAAATTATGTTGATCCATACATTTTTCAATAAGTTATAGTATTATAAAATTAAAAATAAAAAAATAAAATCGAGAATTTTCACACAAAAATAGCATTTGGTAGCCAATTTCACCCTGAAGACAAAATAAAGTCCGAAATTTTTTTCTTGCATAATAAAGTATATTACATTAGCTTTAATTTAAGATATATATAAAAGTGTCAGACCTTCCGGAACATTTTCAAAAGTTAATTTTTTGTGAAAAAGTTGTCATTTTAAATCCCCCCCTGTGGGCAGGTTAAGGTTAAATTTATGAAAAAAATATACCAAATGAATAGTAATGATATTATGCATCTATTTAAAAAAGAATTATTAATAATTTATTGCACAGGACAGTTATGTTGTTTAAAATTTCTTTATTGGTTTTACAAATTATTAAATTATAAATACAAACACCACATACAAGGTTAAAGAGTATACCACTTAAATATACAAAAGGGTTTTACATAAAATACCAGAGGTATAAAAATTTAAGTTTTACTTTGAGTAGATTTAATATAGAGTTGTATTAGAGAAATAGTTACACGTGAGTTAATAATAACATATATCGTATAATTTCAAATGCGCACTCTGACGCATATACATACATATCGATAATTGTGATATCAACTACATGACTCATCTCAACAGAATATCTGTCATATCAGGATAATTAGAAGTAAGTTAAAACATTTATTTATATAATAATTGCAACAAAATTTCTTGACAACACATTTGACCGATTTGTGTCCAACATAATTATTTACTAGTAGTGATATTCTACTGGCAATATGATTTGAATAGTGGTACGTTCTTTATCGTGATGTCCCAATATCTTCCAAGTTATAACCAAACTACAAACAATCAGATAGCTTGGGGCATATAGTCCATCAAATATGGTATACCACTATTTTAGTTCGCTAGAATAGTGGTATACCATGTTTGATGCTAGTCGAACGTACGGAAGCGTTCAACACATTTCTCTTATTTAATGTGTAGGCGTAACAATATTTTTTATTAATTTTCTCTCTCTCTTTGTTTATTTTAATTTATAGACTAGGTTCTTTGCCTCATATTAATTTAATTTTTATTTTGTTTTATAAAGTCTCCTTAATTTAACTTAACGGTAATTTTCTTAAATATTGTAATTTATAAGTAATTTGCTTATAATAAATTTCCTAACTTTAATTCTTAAATCAAGTTTTGGTAACCTCGTGGCTGATTTAAACATTTCTTATAAAATATTGGTCTATTGGTAATATAATGTCGTAATATGCTCAATGCTTTGCATTACGCATCTTACAATTATTAATAAAAATGTATAATCTGTATTTTAAATAACTTGTAAACAAACAAATGATTTATCTGTAATAACAAATACGATGTGTCAACACAATTTCTTATTATTTATTTATATATGTTATCTCAATATAATTATCATGTAATGTATAATAAATACAATAAACTAAAAAGATCACTAAAAGCGCTGACAACAATATCCCTGGATTGAGGGTACTATCATTTTACTATAAAAAGCACTGACATCCTTTCAGACAGAGGAGAGTCAGTGAGAGACTCCAAGAAGGAGGAGAGTCAGGGAAAGACTCCAGAGAGATGAAAAAAAGAAGAAGTGACAGCGACCAAGAGAGTTCGTTTTCTTCGGATTGAAATAAGAATAAAAAAAGTAACAATTATCAGTCTCAGCCCTGTGTTGTTGTCGGCTGACTTTTATGTGTTTTATTTATATATGAAAAGAACTTGCTTTAATTAATTATCTTTTGACGAAGTGCGAATTAAATACTTTTAAACATATATAAACATATCGAGATAATTATCAAATCATTTTACAAGCAATTTGCAAGAATAAGAGAAGTAAATAATTTTATGTCATCTCAATTATTTGGAGTATATAAGTTTGAGTAAAGGATGACAAAGCAATAGATCATTTATTAAATTAATATTTTAGAGTGTCAATTTTGACTGGTTGGTTAAAGAAATTATACATAATCACGTTATATGGTATTCGTGAACTGGCTCTGCCGTTTCGTTGCCTTAAAGATGTTTAAAAAAACTTAGCGTGATTTCTACTGTATAAATTAGGCTTTGGAATTCGTGGACTGGCTCTGCCGTCTCGTTGCCGAGGTATTCGTGAACTGGCTTCGCCGTTTCGTTGCCTCTTAGTTAGGACATTAGAAACTAATCAGACAAAAGTTTATTATACCTCTATAAGAGGAACTTAACATATATTTTTATATCTACTTGTCATTGTCGTTCTAAACCCTCGAACCATACGATTCCAATAGAACCACAACATCAGGTTTTCACTAAACCCATCAACCATTCATTCATTTTCATTATTTATATTTTACCAACTTTTTGCCTTTATATTTTTTGAATTATAACAATAAGTTAATTATTTCAAACTTTGTTATTGTCATATTGAACAAATAATGTTTAATAGTTTGTTTAAAAGTCAAAGTTAGAATCTTACCATTATTATTGAAATAAATTAATAGATTTTTAATACTATTTTATAGTTGATGGTAAAACTGTGTCCAGTTGAATCTAATAAGTGTTTTACTCATTTACAAAATAGCATGCGAAAATAGCTATAAGTATTAAAATTTATTGTCGATCAGTCGCTAAAAATTCAATATTTCATATTACTTGCTTATACTCATATTTGTAATCACTCAAAAACTTAAAATTGTCTAGTCATTTAAGAAACGAACTGGTTCCTTAATTTAAAATCATATTAAAAAAAACTCACAAAATAGTAAATTAGTTGTACATATGACTTCTTGTTCCTCGCTTCACAAAGTTTCTTAATAAATTGTTTTTACTGGTTCTCAGACTCATAACTTAAAGAAATATTTTGCAATATTAGACTTTATTAGGTATTAAATATTTGTTTTTTAGAAGCGATTTATTTAATGAGGTGACTGGTATTACCCATTGAACCTAGTTCCACTAGTCTTCCCTAACCACAGAAATAAATTAGTTTTGTCTTTTAATTTTCTTTTAATTGTCTATCTAGCTGTTGTCTATCAAATTTGCCTTATATACAGTCCACTAGAAAATATACAAAATAATTTGGTCATTTAACCAGTGCCAAAGGCTCGATATAATGTATTACTGATCACTATTATTTATAATTTGGTAATTGCGTTAACTTTAAGAAAATAAATATTATAAAAATTTCTCATGAATTTAGTAAGTGCAGAATAGGTGTTTAAAGTTTTCATAAATATTTAATTAGAAACTGTTACGTCGCTATTTAGGGGTTTAGCCTAAATGCCCGTCGACAGTATTCTAAGGGACCAACGGGGGATAGCTGGCTAGGCTATATCTACCTTAGGTACTGAAGTTTCCTATTTAATTTATATTCCCTTAAAGAAACTACCAAGGGCCACACTACAATATATATATATATATATAACACTTTACGTTAACAACGATATAAATAAATATTTATTAAGCAATTGAAATATTAAATAGATAATACAACCTGCTGGACACCTAGAGATATTATAATCCAACAGGGAGCTGACGGCGACACACACACACACTATAATATACGGGGTAGCAAAGTTAAGTTAATTATCAGGCAAAAGTAGTGATCGCGAAGATGGTAAAATGTCAACTGTCGATAGGGATATCTTACTATGGCACATTGGCCGTGAATTGCAAAAAGTGTTTATGTGTGCAGTCCGCCCTCCTGTTAGTATTGTTGTATGTCACTGTGTTAATTATATATATATATATATATATGTCTATTAAACGGTGCAACGATGTTATGGGAGACAGAGATATGGGCACATGCAAATGTGATCGTATCAAAACTCAGTTGGTCTCTTGGTTAATGTAGTGCGTTTACAGTAACGAAATATAAATCTACATTAAGTTAGATCTCTAAGCCATTTGCACTTAAATCGTGTCGTACAATTACCAGGAATAATATTTTTTGAAAGTCTTTTTATTAAGAGATTATAGTGAGAGGCTAGATGAGAGTTATTATTCTAAAATAATAAATGCTACTTAATGAGATATAATTTTTTTTTTCAATATTATTAACTGTATAACATTTATCTTCTTTAAACCATTTTTAATATAAATTATCTCTAAAATTAGATAGTTCTTCTGTTTCAGCGATAACTCCAATAGTTTTATTATACTTATTTAGGAAGAGATAAATACACTTTTTGCCGTCCATATCTTCTTCAGAGTATTTGAGCCCGTTCTTGTCAAATAACATCCATTTATTTTCATTATAATATAAAAAGATGCATGTATCCAGATAATATGCTGCAGCAAAATATTCTACCACACTACATGAACTAATTACATTACCTAAAATTTATATAAACACTTAATACTTCTGTTATTTTATTTTCAAATTTTTTTTGTATAATAAAATGTCCAAGCAACAATGTAGTTTCTAAGATTCGGTAAAAATTAAATATTATAATATATTAAAGGTTATTCATATAAATTTTAGAATATTTATTTTATTTAAAGTTCTTTATTCTATTAGTAATGACATAAACAAATTTGAATGTGTTGTGTCGTTCAGTGGCTTCTGCCCGTAAGGTTTTCACCAATGAAGACACATAAATTCAACAAAGTTGAATTCACCACTAGCCGAGGTTCTACTAGACTCGAACATAGTATAATTTAAATGTAAATGATTTTTTTAAATTATACCAATGATCTATTTACTAAATTCATACCTTCACTCTAGGGGAAAGGAATAAAGAACTGATAGAATAGAAGTGTGGGCGATGATGTTTTTATGTTATATTCAATTTAGTCAAATAATAACAAGTTTAAATAATAGCTAAGTGGTCTTTTATGATAACGATATTCGCAGGTAAACAGCATTTATTATTAATAGTAATAAGGCCCATTGTTGTGAGTTAATAAATACACTAACTGGCAATACAGAAAGTTTATCTATTGAAAGTCATAATTGACAATAAAAAATCCGTGATTGTGACAGCGATGTCATAAAAAATCAATAAGCTAAATGTATTTGTTACACCTTCGTATATTTATACAAGTGTATTAACTCAAAAATTTGAAACTTTAAAGTTTTATATCTAATAAATGAATAAAGTTTTATTAAAAATTCAAATAACATGTATTATTAAATTAAAAACTTAAACATTTTATTAAATTTAAAATATGCGTTAATATTTCAAAAAACAAAATTGACACCCTTACAAGGCATAAGATATGAAATTAAAAAGTATTACATAGTTAATAATTCCAGAATAATCTGTAGCAAATGACAACAAAAAAAAAAAATGTTTCAATTATTTTTATTCTGTAAATAATTGAGTGGGTTATAATAAAAAAATTACTTTGTATTTATCCATTTATAATATACAGAGTGATTTTTTTATCATAACTCACTCAATTACCTACAGAATAAATACAATTGACACGACCCGCGTCGCTTCGTTATACACGATGCCCCGTGACTCGTGCCATCTTTATCAGCCGTCGAACTTTAACGAGTGTTTGACTGACCAACACCGCGTGTCATACGCTACGGTGCTAAGTCCAGCAAATCTATTCGGTTTGTTTTATTTTTTGTTAAAATAACCTGTTGCCGCTCATTTAATATGAATAATACGGGTCTCTACTCTCAAAACCAATGTCGACCACATTTTTGCAACGGGAGTCGTGTCATAATTTAAACTTTTTTTTTTTTGTTACCTTTAGTTACACATTATTCATGAATTATTAAGTATTTACAACTTTTTATCCCTTATGCCTTGTAAGGGTGTCAACTTTGTTTTTTTTAAACTGGAACATGTATTTTGAATTAAATAAAATGTTTGGATTTTTAAGTCAATAGTAAATGGCATTTGAATTTTTAAATTAACTTTATTAGTTTATTAGATATAAATACTTAATGTTTCAAATGTTTGAGTTAATATACATGTATAATACACAAGGGATTAAAAATACAGGTGGCTAATTAGATTTTTATGACATTGCTGTCACAGTCACGGATTGTTTATTATCAATTATGACTATAAATAGATATACTTTCTGTATTGTCAGTTAGTGTATTTATAAACTCATAACAATGTGCCGTAATACCATTGATAATAACAATGCTGTGTACCTGCTAATATCGATATCATAAAAGACCAATTAGCTATTATTTGAATTTGTTATTATTTGATTAAATTGAATATAACATAAAAACATCACCACCCACACTTCTATTCTATCAGTTCTTTATTTAAATAGCTAATTAGACCTGTATTTGTAATCCCTTGTGTATTATAAATGTATATTAACTCAAAAATTTGAAACTTTAAGTGTTTATATCTAATAAAATTAAAACTATATTAAAAATATTATTAATTTAAAAAAACTAAAAAATATTAAAAATATTAAACTCAAATATTTTTGAGTTTAATATTTTTAATATTTTTTAGTTTTTTTAAATTAATAATATTTTTAATATAGTTTTAATTTTACTTAATTAACTAGCCACAAGTGATCAATTTTTATTTTATATCTAATAAACAAATAAAGTTATACTAAAAATTTAAAATGCCATGTATTATTAAATTAATAACTCAATCATTTTATTAAATTCAAAATATGTGTTCCCATTTAAATAAACAAAGTTAGCACCTTTACAAGGCATAAGGGATAAACATAAAAAGTTGTAAATAGCTAATAATTCAAGAATAATGTGTAACTAAAGAAAACCAAAAAAAAAAAAGTTTAAATTATTATTACTCTGTAAGTAATTTAGTGGGTTATGATAAAAAAATCCATCTGTATATGGATAAAAAGGACTATTGAAGCTAGTTTGACAATTCAAAATCGTTTATTTAACGTTGGAGGCAAAATTTCAAAATAAATATAAATTTATAATCAATTTAGGTTAGATTCATGTAACTTTTATAAAAATGCGTGAACATATTACTATGAAAAACCTTTGTAAGGTAATTTCATATAACATTAATATAGAAATACTAAATAAAAAATATAAAAAATAGTAAATAATACAAAACTAGCATATTTTTTACTACGGTAGCCATTTTCCCCATGAAGACAATATAAAGTTGGACATTTTTTTTTTTAGCTTTGATATGAATCTGCGAAGGTATATTTTCACAATGATGTGTTTTCTTTTGTCTGTTACACTTTTTCTCAGCTTTCATCGGACCTATTTCTTACAACCTCAAGTCAAAATATCACAAATTGTATATAGTTGAAGAAATTTCCCTTAAAAGTTGTAAAAATTTCCCTCGTTCCCTGTAAATAGAGAAAATCTCCGAAAAATTGCAATTTTTTAAATAATAAATGTTGATTTTTTTCCTCTTAAAACTACCATAACTTTTTGAAAAATAAACGCACCAAAATAATTGTTTTTTTTAATAAAAAACTTAGGTATTTTCCTTTTATTTGATTTAATTTTTTGAACCATTTTCCTTTATACAGGGGAATTTTAAATCTTTAAATATACCAGTAAATAATAGAAAACGTTCAACTTAATTTTGACAATGTTTCGGAAGTATTCCGAGCTTTAAATATATGGTAAAGTAAGGGTTATGATAATTATTATATGTTAGAAAAAAAACGATAATACAGTAGGGTCGTGGCACAGTATGGACGTGACATAGTGGGACAAGTATAAATGATATCTGACAGTGATTAAAATCACTATCTTAAGAAACGCTTCATTGCAAATCTGTAGATAGAGTTTGATTTTAAGAAATCGATGGATTATTCCAAAAGCATGGTTAACTCCTATTTTTTGTTCTACTTTGACTGCCATTTTCACATAAAAAGTATGACGTCAATACAATTTATTTTTTTTGAACTTCTAGTATAAAATATGCTTTATTTTAAAATATATTTAAAAGACACAATATTTCCGGAACATTTTCAAAATTTAAGTTGAAAAAGTTCTACTTTGTATACAAATTTTCAAAAATTCAAAAAAGCTTTTCTTAACTTTGAAGAAGAAAAATAATTATAATAAGTATAAATTTATATTTAATGTAAATTAGTTAGATTCATGTAAATTTTATATTTATTAGTGTACTCATTACTATGGCAAACACTTATAAGCTATTTTAAATATATAAAATTTAAACACAAAAATAGCATGTTTTTTTAATTACGGCAGTCATTTACATAAAGAAGATAGGTGGTTAGGACTATTTTTTTTTAATTTATAGTACGTAACATAAGGTTAAATTTAAAATATGTTTTAAAGACACAGTATTTCCGGGACATTTTCAAAAGTTGAGTTTTGTAAAAAGTTGCTATTTTGAAACCTCATTTTGTGGGCTGGTTAAGGGTTACATTATCAAAAATATTATATCAAATAAAAGAGAGTTACTTAAAGTTTTAATATTAAAAAAAATATTTTGATTTATTTATTTTCAATAAGTTGTGACAATTTTTAGAAAGAAAAATGAAAAATATTTTGAAATATACCGATTTTAAAAATCGTAATTTTTAGGAAGATTTCAACCATTTATCCGGAACAAATGGAAAACGAGGGAATTTTTTACAATCTTTGAAGGTAATGTCTTCAACTACTTACAATTTGTGATCTTTTGACGTATCGCTAAGAAAAATCAATCCAGTGAGAGCTGAGAAAAAGTAATGATAGACACAAAAGAAAATTAATAAATAAACACATCATTAATACCATGTAATCTACGCATCGAATCTAAAAAAAAATTGTCCCGACACCTTTACTTCTATGAGGAAAAGGCCGCCGAATTGATTAAAAAGTGATTTTTATGTAAAAATCACTGTTTAAAGTGTTAATATTTTAATATTTTTGTAATAATACTAATAAATTAGTAAGACATCGACTTCTAGTATATAGTAAATGAATAAATGTATATTAAGTTTATAATAAATTACATAAATATCGTGGATAGTCCGCACGGAGATAGTAGAAGGACAACTAACTTATATTACTATTCATACTGTTGACACAACGTTCGATCAACAGTATCAATCGATAATCAACGATAAGCTGACCCCTCCGCTACTTTTATACGCCGTATAAAAAACTATACATGACACTTTGTTAAAATGTACGATGCAAAATCATTTTTTTTTTTAGATTTAAAATTTAGGTATTGCTCTTTCATTTGGTATATGTTTTTTTTTTAATTGTGACCATTTATCTCCCGCAAAATAGCTACTTTGCACACAAATAAAACTTTTTCAACTTAACATTTGAAAATGTTCCGCAAATACCAAAATTTTCATTTATAGAATGTTCAGAAATTATGGAAATGGTTTTCTACTGTTCTCATTGTCTGTAACAACTAACTTGTTTCCTTACTTACTGAGTACTCTGTTTATCTAATATTTAATTTTATGTAATATACTTAACTATAGAAAAAAAAAAATTCGAAATATTGATTTTCTTCTTGGTGAAAATGGCTACCTTATTCGAAAGTATGCTATTTTTGTTTTAAAATTCTTCATTTTTTATTTTATTTTATTTTAAAATACCTTACATGGGTAGTACACTGATATTCATGAATATTATATAAATTTAATTGACATAGAGCTTAAAGTAAAAATTATTTAAATGTTTTTGATTCTTTTAAGTCGTGAAAAATAACTTTGAAATTTTGAATTAGCTTAAATTGCCATTTTTATCTCCCGAAAAATACGATGAACAGGTTCCGCGTCAGTAAAACTTATGTATTCAACGCTTGGGGTACGAGGTTCGAACCCGCCTATGAGAGTGAACTATTTTTGTATTTGGTAACATGATGCTATATAAATCATAAATTATATAATTATATTTTAAAGTTATTTACTGTCGAATTAGGTTTGATATGTTAATAGTTTTCAACTACAAAATTAAAACATTTTACTATGTAGTTAATTATTTTTTATTCTATTTGTGTATATTACTACCAATATAAATAATTTCTAAAAAAAATGATTGTTAGTTTCTTCTGAATTTAACGATAGATTTTTACAATTATAATCAAATTTAATAATACACTCAATTGAGTAGATCTTTTTAACAACTTTGTATTGATTGGTTTTATAGTTAAAGAAAATCATTAAAATTAATTAAGTTTTGAATATTACAATTAAAAAAATCTTTTTAAACGCTAAAAGTTACTTAGAAATTTTTATTATGACTTCTATTTAAGTGATCGATTAGGATAAAAATGAAAAAAAATATTGTGCTTGACTGATGAATTTATTATAAATAGTAATTATAAAATTTCCTGATTACATATTAACCTTAACAATACCATTTTTTTATATTTTATAAAATTTTGTATTAAATGATGCCAATTTAAAACTTGAGCTAAAAATTATGGTATTAACTATACAATTTTTTTATTACATTATTAGAAAAATAAAGCCTTATTTTCTATAATATACATTGCTACACATTTTATTTTCGCTTGTAAAATCAACCCTTATGATTCCTGCACCTAGAGTCAGTCACTCTAAATATAGCCCTGCATCTAAAATTAAAAACCAAGCACAATGGGTTCACGGTACAATGGTGACGTGACATAGTTGGATCAATTATATTGATATATGACAGTAATTAAAATAACCATCATGAAAAACGCTTCGATGCAAATCTTTGGATAGTGTTTAATTTAAAAAAATTGGTGGATTATTCAAAAGCTAAATGATCCTTATTTCCTTATTTATATCCTGATTAAGATAAAGTATGTCGAATAAAAAAGGAATTATTAAAAAATATTATTTCTCATAAAAAAATTGTGTTGATCCATACACTTTTCAATAAGTTATAGCATTATAAAGTTTAAAATGTAATAAATAAAATCCAAAATTTTCACACAAAAATAGCATTAGGTGACTATTTTCACCGTGAAGATAAAATTAAGTCCGAATTTTTTTTTTTTTTTATAATAAAGTATGTAACATTAGCTTTAATTTAAGGTATATATAAAAGTGTCAGTATTTCCGTAACACTTACATAATTTAAGTTGAAAAAGGAAATTTTTTGTGAAAAAGTTGTTATTTAAATCACCCCCTGTGGGAAGGTAAAGGGTTATATTTATAAACAAATTATACCAAATGATTAGAAAAGACATCAAGCATCTATAAAAAAAATTATATTTGTTCATTTTTGAAAAAAGTAATTGCAGTTTTAAGAAAGAAAAATTGAAAAAATTTTGAAAATTAGTGATTTTTAAATTTTTTTTGGAGGATTCCACCATTTACTGGGAACGAATGAAACTTTTTCAATTTTTAAGGGTAATGTTTTCGACTAGAAACAATTTGTGATCATTTGACGTATCGTTGAAAGATATCCGTACCGTGAGAGCTAAGAAAAAGTGGTAATAGACCTCCTCAGCTCGCATGGAAGCTAATAACTATTTTCAATTATATTTTTTTTATACCTTCGACGTTGTCTGTGTAATAGCTAAAATCTTTTCTACAAAGTGGGCATTTATTTTCATCTCTAATTAGTAGTGTATCAGCACAGTTTTTACATAAACAGTGACGGCATTTATTCAAAATAACAAGTACATCAGGTTTATTGAAACAAATTGGACATTCTTCAGCTTTAACTAAAAATGTTTATATATAATAAATGTTTTAATATTGTTTAGAATAAATATATTTTTTGATTACGAATTACCATATATCAGTATTTACATAATAAAATATGAATGGCACTATTATTTTTAAAAACCTTACTTCTTATTACAATTGGAAATAAAATATTTTTCAATCTTACAATTATAATGTTAACATTAATGTTTTTTATAAGTGACTAAAGACTAAATGTCAATAAAACATACCTGGATTTACAAATGTTATATTATGATTTAAATATTCATTTAAAGATTCTTCATCACGAAAAAGTTTATTAATGTCATCATTTGTATTTATGCTCTAGATTTATAATATATAAAACAATTTAATATATTAGTAATAATTGTATTTTAAATTATATATTTTAACATACTGAACAAATGTTTTTTTGTAGTGATGTACTAAATTTTGTATCTCCACATATTAGGTCAGACAATACTTTGTATAAATCTTGATATTTGTAAGTTTGAAAATAAGGTAACACAAATGGCATATCTTTTTTAAACGTATATCCCAAACTTTCACATTTGTTTTTTCTCCACTCTTTATCAACTAAATTGAATTTAAATTTAAAATTTAATTTGACTGCATAATAGTCCATTTCTGTTTTATCATTCATCTTAACACGTGTTAAATATTCTATTGTCTGCAAATAATAAAAAATTCTGAACATAATTATCGAGATGAAGATCAAAGAATTATACATTAAGTATAAACTCAATATATTTACGTCTTAGCACATAGGGTTTGAACTTTTTCTTGTAAGACATTAACGTTAACGTTAGAGACAAGTTGATACACTTGGATTTAAAAATATTGAACAAATACAATGCCCGATGGTACTCATGCGTGTTAGTTAACGTTAGTTGTTTTAAGTCAGGCTATGTGAATGTAAAGAATTAAGATGAGTGAGCTGTACGAATGAATGTAGAATGAATTTTCAAAACATATAACTTATAAATATGTTATACATGAATCATACAATTTTATACATTCCAATATGGATAGGGTAACTCTTAATACTAATGCCACAATGGCACTGATATAAACAAATAATAAATTATAAATAGACTGATAAAGGATTGACATGAATAATATATATTTAATTTGATGTCTAATAGATATTGAATTATAGACAACTGTATAATGAGTGGTAAATGTATTATTACAATAAATCTTAAAATGAAGATGAACAAGAATTATTTTTATCAGCTAATTGTAACGACTGATGATATTGCTGAATATTAAATGGATCAAATGAAATCAAATGCAATTAACTGATCAACTTGTACAATATACTGTAAACGATACTGTGATTTATATCAGAAAACAAGAAGTCCAAAAGGCAATTTACTGAGAGCGCAATAGGGTGCGACAATAGCAAAGATGATATTTTACTTTTTATAAAAAACTATGATCTCGCAAGTTGTATAGACCTTATAACTAAAATACGCTAAGATAGTGGCAAAAATGTAGACATAGGAAAATAATAAAAATTAGTTTACAAAGTAAAGAATCAACCAATGTTCACATAGTTACAATGAATTAATTTAACCAAAGAAATTTAGACATGCATTGACCCTGGCCAGGAACTTAAACTAAGGGGAATCAATTAATGGGGGGATCAAAATACAAAACAATTAATTAAAAAGGAAAACAAATAATTAATTAAATATAACGCTTGCCTTGATTTGTCGATACGACTGCGACGGCGGCGACGAAGACGTTTTATTTTTGACAACATGGACGAATATCGCTATGATTGTCAAATTAACGGTCGGTAGGTCTTTTCCGGAGGTTCGGTGGTGGTCGAATTCGGTTGACGGTCGGTGTCGGTTGACGGTCGGTATCGGTGTGTTTTAGGTAGGCGGTAGTTGAGAAAAACAAAACAAGATTAATTATTTACAGTGATTCCCAAACATACCGCCCACCTTGAAGAACCGTAGGTCTCCAATGATTCAATGGTAACAAACAAAGTTTTACCACTGGTCGGCTGAGAATTTTTCCGGTTGAGGTTCGGACGTGAGCCACTCGTACGACTCCATCGGCTCCGGGAATAGTTTTTATTACTCTAGCAGTGATCCAAGTGAGGGGAGGTGTCGGCTCTTTGAGAAGGACCAAATCTCCTACCTCTAAGTTGGGCGCCGAACGCGTCCATTTTGATCTTTCTTGAAGAGTATGTAGATACTGTTTCTGCCATCGTGACCAAAAATGCTGGGTGATCTGCAAGATCAAAGCCCAGCGTTTCCCGATGCTGATCTTAAGCTGATCGTCGGTAAAGGATGGGGACGGTACGGTGACCAATGGTTCCAAAGTTAAAAGATGTCCTGCGGTTAATGGAGTAAAGTCGTTAGGGTCGGCTGACATGGCACTTAACGGCCTTGAATTTAGAGTGGCCTCGATCTGATGTAAAACGGTATTAAGTTCTTCATAACTAAGGATTCGGTCTTGTATGGTTCGGTAAAGTAAAGATTTGGTTGACTTCACATTTGCCTCCCACAGTCCTCCCATATGAGGAGCAGCGGGTGGGTTGAAATGCCAATTAATTTGGTGGCTTACCGCATAATTGACAAATGTTGACTTGTGTAGTATAGCGTCGACTTCTGTTAAGTAACGCTGAGTACCTACAAAGTTGGTTCCGCAGTCACTGTAAATGTCCGTACAGCGTCCTCTTCGACTGATAAATCGGCTTAACGCCGTGTTAAACAGTGGGTTAGACATGTCTGAGACAAGCTCGATATGAACGGCAGTCGTAGCCATACATATAAAGATGCAAATGTATGCCTTTGTTATTTTTATTTTTCTTAACATTGAAGCTTTAACATGGAAAGGGCCGGCAAAATCCACTCCTGTTTTGCCGAATGGTTTGATTTGGGAAAGACGGAAGGAGGGAAGATTGCCCATTATTGGTTGAGATGGCCGAGGTTTTGCTCTAAAGCATGGGATACATTGATGCAGTTTGCGGTTGATTATGCTTCTTGATGCGAGTATCCAATAATTTTGCCTTAATAAATTTTGAACCGTTTGTTGTCCTGGATGTCCGTTTGTTCGGTGGACATGGTTTATTAGTAGTTCCGTTAATCGTGCCATTTTGGGTAGTAAAAGAGGATGCTTTTCTTGGTAGGGTATACTTGAGTAGTTTAAACAGCCACCCACTCTGAGCAACTGGTCCTCGTCTAAGAACGGAGTTAATTTCCTCAAGGAAACCGGGGCGGGTTTACCCATTGAAAGTGACTTTATAGCATCCGGAAAAAAGGCATATTGTGTCCAACGAACTAAAGCTCGAAGCGCCTCATCTGTTTCAACCGTGGTTGGTAGTGTGGTGACGGATAAAATAGGTTTTTTACGAAGTCGATTTTTCACTCTTAACCAATAAGCTGTGAGCCTCAAAATTTTTGGTAAGTTCTCTGATTGATAAAGTAAACGAAGATCTGTTTCTTGTACTTAAGAAAAAAGTGAAATCGGTTTTTCTTCAATCATGACTTTGGGGTCGCTGTTAAAACTGAACCCACTTTCTTCAGGCCACTCACTACTATCTTGGTGCAGAAATGAGGGACCGTTCCACCAGAGATTATGACTGACCAGACCCTTTGGTCCTAAACCACGTGACGCGCAATCAGCGGGATTATCTGTCGTTGGTACATGTCGCCAAATATCAATGGGAGTAAGTTGGTGAATTTTGGCAACTCGATTAGCCACAAATGTTTTTAAAGTAGCGGTTGAACTTCTTATCCAAGAAAGCACAACAGTAGAATCGGTCCACGCTGTAGATTTCATGACGTTAATAGATGTTAGATTTCTTTGTGCAAACGTTAAGAGACGAGCTAACAGCCAAGCACCACATAATTCTAATCTTGGTATAGATAGTTTTTTAGCTGGTGCGATTTTTGATTTTCCCATTAGTAAGTAACAAATGACTTCCGTTCCTGTGTCAATCCTTAAGTAAACAGCGGCTGCGTACGCGGCTTCTTAGCTGTCACTAAATCCATGAAGCTCATACTTAGCGTTAGGACGTATTACCATGCGTGGAATTTGTAAGGAGGTGAGCATAGATAGTTCTTGATGATATTGAGTCCACGCAATGGCTGCCTCTTCTGGTATCGGTTCGTCCCAATCTACTTTTATTAACCAAAGGTACTTCATTAATCTTTTCAAATCTGTTGAAACTGGCGAAAGTAATCCGAGTGGGTCATAGATTTTCGCGATTTCTGATAAAACTGCTCTTTTACTAAATTTTACTATATTTGGTCTATATTTATAGCTGAGAAAATCAACTTTTGGATCCCAATTTAATCCAAGAACGTGTATAATTTCTGATTCGTGTTCATTAAACGTAACTGGATGGGTTTGTTGGTGCTCCAATGGAATATGAGCTAATAATTCTTTCGAGTTGCTTGACCATTTTCTCAATTCGAATTGACCTCGTTTAAACAACGTGACGAGCTTCTGCTGTAGTTCGATAGCTTCTTCTACACTATTCGCACTTGTCACTAGATCGTCAACATAAATGTTATGATGAACAATGGTTTTGATGATTTCATCGTCGCCAGCTTCATCTTTGACTAATTGGTGAAGCGTGCGTATAGCAAGAAAGGGAGAAGACTTTTGACCAAAGGTAACGGTATTCATCTCATATTCAGAGATAGGCTCCTCTGGACTGAACCTGTACAATAATCTTTGATAAGGACGATTCGATTTGGTAACTATTATTTGGCGAAACATTTGTTTAATATCCGCGGTAAATACGATTGAATGTAAACGAAAACGTAAAATTATGCCGGGAAGTTCTTGTTGAAGTTTCTTACCGCAATGAAGATTGTCATTGAATGACATACCCGAAGATGTTTTTGCCGAGGCGTCGAAGACTATACGCATTTTTGTGGTAGTACTTTCAGGTCTAATAACTGCGTGATGAGGAATATAGTAAGCAGTTTTGTTACTTACTGAACTCTGTTCTAACTTAGCCATATGATTGTTGTCCAAATAATTTTGCATTTCCTTATTATAACTTTCACGCCATTCTGGAATTTTTGAAAATATACTTTCCAAATTATATAAGCGACGTAAAGCTTGTTCTTTTGATTCTCCAAGAAGGGGTGGATATTTTATAAAGGGTAAGTGTACAACATATCTACCATCTGCTTGACGTGTTGTAGTCGATTGGTAAATCTGTTCACATTCTTGGTCCTCTGGATTACACTCTTCAATGGTGGGTACGTCCTCGACTTCTAGAAATTTCTGTAATGTATCATTAACGGATTCAAGAGTTGAACACATGGTGACAATTTTTCTATCATTCGTAGTGGAGGTTTTTCCCATTAATACCCAGCCAAAGACAGTAGATAAGGCGATCGGTCCTCCATCTTTACCTTCTTTCATTTGACCGGTAAGAAGCTGCGGAAACACATCCGCGCCTAACAAAATATCTACCGGTAAAGATTTGGCATAATCGGGATCTGCTAAGGTTAAGTCATTTAAATGAGACCAATTATCATTCCACACACGCTCCGATGGTAAAGGGCCAGTTATACGGTTTAATATTAACGCATCGATATTAAGTTTAGGTTCAGACAAACCTACTGGACAAATGTCAATGTTAACACTTCCTTTAACTACAGGTACTTGTAGGCCCGATAGGCCTTGTAC